CTTCCTTGTTTTTTTCCAACATTTATTTATACTCAAAAAGAAACAAAGCAACCAAAAAAAAAAAGCAACACGATTTGAAAAAAAAATTCAAGAAAAGTATTAAGCTAAAAGAAAAGAAACCAAAACTGAATAAAATGCCAATTCAGAGTTTTATTTCCATTCGAAATGATTAATTTTATAATAATAATAAAAAAAAATAAATGTTTTATTAACATAAATATTAAATTTTTTCTTCCCTTTCCCCTCTCTATTTTCTTTCACAAAATTATTCCAATAATTCTGGTTTCCCTTTCCTTCGTCCAATATAATACCAGAAGAAAAAAGCAGCAAACAAAAAGAACAATATAAGCCTCTTTTTTTTTTCTCGTCTCATAAGCAAACATTATTCACCGTTTATCTATTCACCGTCAGTGAAATATACAAATTTTAAAGCAATTAACTAAAACAGAAATAGGAAAGTGTTACCGGAAAAGACTGTATATCACCAAATTAGTAGTATCAATCAGCAAGTGCCGGTTTGTCTAGACCACTGAGTAGCACTGGAAATGTCTGATAAATTAAATCATTTGTTGTGGTAAATCCTGGTATTTTCCTTCTCAATATTCTCCCTGATCCTCTACCTTCAACATCCCTCTCCCTCAACTTAGCTTTGTCACCAACAGTACTGCTATAGTTGCTTAATGGTCTACCCAAATAATTTCGCTTAACTTCCAAAACAACCGATACCACTGCAATGCTTCAAAGTAGTCCTTAGTGCCCATAAATGAAATAGTTTTCTATGCAATTTCAAAATCAAAATGATAAATTGGTCTTGCCTAAATTTGCGATATCCATCGCAGTCAAAACTCATCCAATAATTTGCCCTACTTTTCCCTGTTACTCTTATGTACCCTACGGTAAGCAATAAGCACAGTTATATTCCTTCTAACTACCACTAAACAATCAAATATTGTACTTTTAGTAAACAGTACAACAAATTAGTTTTCTCTTTTTGCTGAATCTCATATGAATTAATAAACAGAAAAAAAAGAATAGTATCCTATTAAATAGATAATCGAAAAAAGGCTCGAACACGATCAGTTCACCAAAAAACTTAAGCAAACGACGAATGTTGCAATACAGCAATTATCAGCTACTAAAATACAATTTTCAACTCAAAAGTATGCTATTAAATGCAGTAAAACAAAAAATTTTTTATAATAAATTTAAATTCGTCTTCAAAAAAAAGAAAAAAAAACTTATAATAACCGATAAATAATTCAACTTTCAAAGTGTTATTTCAACAATTAATGTTGACAATTTGATTCTTTTTTCCCCCAAAAAACCAAAAGAAACAAAAATTGATGATCTTTTTTTGGCTAAAAAAAAAGAATGACCATTAAAAACTAGAAAATTTTCGTATACTGCACTCGCCTACATCTTTCTTGACAAAAATTTTTCTTGACACTTTGATCGGTGATTTCATATAATAAAAAAAAGAACAAAAAAGCGTTTTCTGTTTACACTATTAATTTTTGTCAACAATAAAAAAACTGTTTTTCTTTTTCCTTTCAATCCAATCCATGCAAAAAAAAAAAAGACTGCACTTGTAGAACAACCAAGAAGCAGAGCAGTGAAAGTAGAGAAAAAGTAAAGAAACCAAAAAAGGATAAAAAATCAAAAAATGATGGCAAGCAAAATCTGACGAATCGCAAAATGAATACCACACTGGTGAAGCTATCTTCGGAATACATTGTTAACATTATAACTCAAATCTGATAACACCGTCAAAGAGTATAATAGCGGAAAAGCTGAGCAAACATGAATTTGGGAATGTATTAATACAGCAAATATGCATCTGTTGAATCAATCTGTGCAGCACTGGTCAAACAAGTTGGTAAAATGCATAACAAGTAGTTTTACCCATCCATTCATTCATCATCATAGCAAAACTTCTTTTCTCAAAGATGCACTACGATTGAACTAAATAGATAAAAGAAAAAAAAGAAAGAGAAAAAAAACAGCCTTGTTTATGGCCATTTCCTAACACGTTTTTTCCTCTTCTTACCATTCGGCCTTGCACAAAACACCCGACGTACATCAATCTCGAATGCAGTCCTAAAAAATTTCCTTCTTCAGCCATCTTCCCGAGTTATTTTCGTCACTGTCCACTACGTCAAATTTCGCAGAAAACAACCGTCAGAATCTGTTATTTTGCAACAACAGCTAGTAACTACACTTAAAGTTGAATACCGCAAAACGATGGCATTAAAAAGTACAAAGCCATTAAACTGTACTAATCGACACGCTGATACCTTATCAACCCTTGCTTTATTGCTTGCTCTTGATAAAGTCCTAGCAAGCTTTAAGAAAAAAAAGTAAACAATAAAAAAAGAGCCAAAAAAAAGTTCCAGTCATCTGTACATTTAACAAATATTGTGCCATTTCGTTTTTCATTGTAATATTTGAAGAAATCTAGGAAAAAACTTGTGTCCTTACGTTTTATTGACGTCTTGGACCATTCTCATATTGGTGATAACTTCAAATGACTGCACAACATCGGTTTGTTCGTCAACCTGCTCTTCGCCTTCAAAATATTCACCTGGTCGAACCAGAACGGCATTATAAAGCGGTGTCGAATATCGAAGATCATCGAAAACGCAACACAGTAAATACAAACTGAAAAAAAAAAAGGACTAAAAAAATCTGTCAAAATATAGAATTCAATCACAATTGAAGAACGATAAAAAAAAAAAAAGATATATCTTTTTTTTTGTACTTATCTTTTCTTTAAAAAGCTACTGAAAGTGAGAATCACAAAAGCTAAAGAATAATTGTAACGAAGAAATATGTCACAGATGATATATTGTAATGTATCCACTACTATACTGCCCTACGACACATTTTTGTGCAGTACAGTTATGGTACTCCATAAATGTGCTACATAATTGCCAGAAATTTTGTTCTTAAAATTGATTCACCGCTATCCTTAAAAGCTGTTGCGATTGCTTTCAACCTAATGAAGCCTTTAACTACAATTTGAAATCTTTTCGATCATTTAAAAATACTTTCACCAAACCAAACACTCTTTGTTCCACAAGATCATAAATCACTAGTCAGCCCTCTCAATTTCGTCCCATTCAACACAAGATAGTCTTTAAGCCAAAATAGAAACGGGTTTTCTCAGTGAATTCCTACAACGCTACCTACCTAACTTCATCTCAATTTCTATATCACCCAGTAAGACCTTCGTATGACTCAACAAAGAAAAACGTGAACCCGAACTGTGAATGCACCGATATCATTAACTTTTTTTGTTTATTTATCACAGTTACCTTTATCTTCACCCCTCTAAAGCTATAGAAAATGTATTCTTATTTAAAAAAAACTTGACAGTCTGTCTCGATAAAAAAAACTTCAAGAACTTTTCAACTAATTAAATCATTGGAGAGTTGTCATGAAAATTAAGAAAACCCAGAAACAAGTTACCATCATGTTCCGATTGAGACTACCGTTTTTTTCGTTATCTTTGTAGGTGTTGTGCAAAAATTCCTGGCAGAATGCATTTTGAAATCAACACATGTCATGGATTTTCGTAATTCCATAAAAAATTGCATCAAAGACCGTTTTCATGTTTTTTTTTTATTTTTTCTTAAAAAATAATAAAAGCGTCAATGCATTATTTATTCAAATTAGTTCAGAGTAATTTGCCTTCACAAGTACCTTTATTTCTGCCGATAATAAACTAGAGTGTCAAGAGCAGTTTTCAATTTTTGTTTAATAAAATCTGTAACCTCTGACGTTCACAATTGTCAGACCCTCACGAAATGTTGAAGCAATGACATTTTCATTCATCTTTTAAAAAAAAAGAATTAATAATAAATTTAAAATTCCACAAAAATGAAACTTAAAATGTCAGAAGTATAATCGACAAATAAACCGAATTTGTTTTATTCACAATTTTACGGATTTCTTTTGATTCATAAAGTAATTTAAAGATAAAAAAAATCCATAATATCCATAACTGTCTACAAACAAACGAAAAACAGAACTAACACTGACGTTTCGATACATGACAAGGAAGCTTTACAAAATCTTACTTCAAAGAAAATTGACCTAAGTTACTGTCACTACTGTCCACAAAGTTTTATCATCTATGTCTAAGTGGGAACGATTTGTATTTTGATACTAAACTATCGAGCTTTTTCAACGCTTCTAAAACCTTTCAGTAATTCATATTTTCAGTTAAATTTTTGAGTCATTTGACAAGAAACAGCAATTGTTATATATTGTACACATTGTTAAGCGAAAAAAGTAAAATAGCTTAACCTTTATTTTCTCCTATCCTCTATTCCCTTCACTGTTATAAGAAGCGTGAAAACTGTTGTTGAAAGAAGGATGAAACAATATGAGAGAGAAAGACAATAGAAAAAATATTTTCGCACTCAAAGAATTTAGTCTAACAAGGAAAAAAAAGAGGAATTAATTTTATATGAAGAAAATGCTGAGTATATTATACAGCATAAGAAAATTTTTCCGTCTAACAGAGCAACGACAAAAAAAAAAAAGATGAACCCAAGTTTACACTGTCTCAAAACTGCTGGGATAAATGACGTTATCTTTTCATCTGTTTAATGGCCCCATACGTATCTGCCCTATGCACCTTACCACATTAATAGCCGTGATGTCATACTGAACTTATCTGCTGATCAAAAAAAAACTAAAATTTTATTGATCAAAGTTTTGTCTATATCGTAAAAAATCTGATTCTCAGTGCTGGCATATTAATCTTACTGATTTACTTATCACAAACATAAAAAAATCGAAAAAAAACTGAGATGTAGAAACCAGTATAGATGATAAAACTTACGGCTGATGTCTGCCATAACTTTTGTCGAAGCCACCAACCAATGTGTTGTTCTCGGGACATGACGAACTTATAGCGCGATCTTCACAATCCTTAAGCAATAAAATTATCCTTTTTTTGATCATAAAATTAGAAATTTTTCAAAAAAAGAAAACTGTTGTTAATTGCAGATAATAACGTTTAGACGACAAACAGCGAATGAAAATAAACGTCTTAGCAAACAGTACAGAAAAAGCTAACGTACCTATAAAACCAAAAATAAGTTATGCTCAAAAATGTATATTATTAATCTAGTGTTTTTCCTAAATTTGTCTTCTACGGTATTCTAAGAGGTAGAAAAATTGATGATGAGAATAAGAAAGAGAAGGAAGTGTCAGAGGTAATGTTATATTTTTGTCGTTTACTCTCCAGCTAAACTTGGCAACTTTTAATTGTTGTATAAGTCATAAATATAGCTTAAGTATGGTACGAAGTTAACAAAGTTAAGTTTAGACAATAACTGCCAAATCTAGAAAATAAATTTTTGCAAAAAAAAATAAAAATAAAAAAAAAAAACACGGTAGTTAGAAGTGCAAAAAAATGAATTGCAATGTCTCGTTGTGTCATAGACGCCCGATAAAACTATGCCGTTCATCTGGTTTTGTAAAAGAATGGCACAAAAAACTGAGGAAGTTGTGTAATTAAACTTCAAAAGAGAATAAAAGAGAAATTGATAATAAAACTTTCGCTTTTTTTAGACAAGAAAAAAAACAAAATTTTTGCTTTACTATTAATACAGAAGTAAAAAAAAAAAACGATTTTTTTTTTTCTGTGCTTTTTGTTGCTTTATTTGAAATAAAAACAAAGAATTACGATAACTATCAAAATTATGCAATTAATTGGAAATAGTGTTGCAATAAACCTGTAATTCGCACAAAAATAGTTCCAAAAAAAGAGGCATTAACAAATTTTTTAAATAAGCAACTAATAATCGCTTTATTTGATCAGTTAAAATAATGACAAAAATAAAGAAACCAGAAAATTGAACGAACAATTACAAATACTTTGTTTCATTTTGTAACACGTTTTCCTCTCTCCCTTCCCTTCTTTCCCCATATTCTTCCTTCTCTTCATATAAAGCTATATATGCGCAAAATAGCAGCCTAAGCCATGTTCAAATTAACAACAAATATATCTCAAATTTTTCATCTCATAAATACACATATCTCATAAATAAATAGGTATTGTTAGCTATAAAGAAAAAACACTTAGAATTTCCAATTTCAATAAACAAAAAAAAAAGTAGACAAATCTTATTTTCCTTTCAAGTTTATTTTCAATTTGATTTGACTTCAGTAGAACGTAAAAACCTTTAAAGTTATGATAACAGACGAATGTATAAGTTTGTTTTTGGCTGTAGCTGTAAAGTATAGACTAACGGAACTGCGATATTATAGATTTGAGGAACAAAAAACAGTATGCAAATTGTAACATAAAATAAGTCACTTTCATCCTCAAAATTAAAAACAGGAATAAATTCATAAATAATTCTTCAACTGTGGCATAAGCAATGACAATATATCAAACTTGAAAAAACCTTTATGATAACATAGTATTCTTTCCAACAGAAATATCAACAACAAAAAACAACTTACTGTGAACTTTCGTTCTTCACAATTTGGTCGAGCGCACAGTAATGACGGTTGACCGTTTCGATGTACCTCTAAACCAAACGGTACCTTATTTTCACCACAATAATCTGCCAAAATAACTGCACAAAACTGTAAAACTACAATTGTCCAATACATTGTTTTGAAAAAAAAACCCTGCAAAAAAAAGAAATTATATATTTAAGAGCGATTTATTTGATCACTTTTCCCGCAGATTATTCACGAGCAAAAAAAAGAAAAGTAGAAGCAGACGACAAAAATTATTCTGTTGTATAAATAACGATGAACATATAACGACGTTAACAGATTAAATTAATCGAAAAAACAGAGAACATCTAAATTTACACAACAGAATACGTGCCTATTTATGACCAAATTGTTTAATGGTTAATAATCTCTTCTATTTTTCCCCTTCCTCCTTCATTGTTGCCAGAAAAGTCAATGTATCAATTGGAATCAGCTTATCATATTATTTCTGTATATCCAAGTTGTTGTTTATCGATATCTATCGATATCGAAGTTTAAATTGGTTATGCAATTACTGAAATCTCAGTTAACCACATCAGAAACTGTTAATTAATTCTACTGAAGCAATAAACAAGCAGTTAGTGATCAGCGATAAAAACTGATAATATCGTTTTGTCTTTGAATTCTACAAAAAACAATATGTCAAAAATGATTAAACGCAAAAAAATATTGGCAGTATTATAAGCAAAAAAATTTCTTGTTTTAACAAATTTACATAAGTTTTAAAAGTAATTAGAAAAAACTGAAACAACAAACAAATAAATAGACACCAAATTAATGTTAAATGTTGAAGAAAAAATACCTTTACACTGAATAGTTTTGCATATTTTTAAAAGACCTTACAAAAAAATAAAAAGGAGCTCTTTAACCATAGACAAGATTTTTGGACTTAACATAATTCATACAATCAGCTTCTTTTTTCCTTTGATCCACCAAATAACAGCAAACAGCACCATTTACTCAAAAGTTTACACTACTTTCCCGTTTCTTTTTTTTGCTTTCCCAGTTTTTTTCCGTTTTCAGCTATCTGTCAGTACGTCATTTCAATTTTTAATTTGAAGTTATGAAGAAAAAAAATAGTTTTCAAAAAAAATTCTCAAACTTTCGCTTTTTTGCTTATTTTTCCTTTTCTATAATTGTAATTTTTTGTAACCAAAAAAAATTTTTTTGGCAATTACAGAAAAGAATAAACAGCAAAATTGGCACCAAAAAAAAAAAAATATTAGACGAATGCTTTAAAACAGAACAAATGCTGAAATACAAAGTTGCATTCTTTTTCTTTCTCTCTCATTCCAATTTAGCAATTCTTCCTTATTTTTTTTTT